ACTGTATTCTTTACCTTAGATTGAAACACCTGCTTAGTTTTTAGGTTTATTTGTGAGATATCTTTTACAAGTATGTGATGTGCAAAGATAGTGATTGTAAACTTCTAAAATGTTAACTTTACATTTCACCATTTGTCCTTTAAAAGATTGAAAGGAATTTTAGAACATGGAAAAGAAGAGTTGGCTGAAGCTGAGATTATAAAAGATTCACCTGATTCCCCAGAACCTCCAAACAAAAAGCCCCTTGTTGAAATGGATGAAACTCCACAAATGGAAAAATCAAAAGGTGAGGTGCAGCCATTGTAACTGTGGATGGAAAATGTTTCCCAGTTCAGCTTTCTTTTGTACGCTGTCACTTATTGCTGTGAGCGTGAGGAAGCGCCCCTGTTGTTCCTGGATGTCATGTAGGGCATTTTCTGTTTACAGCCTTGCAAGATATATTTGGAAAATACATTTGTCAACATTAAAAAACTCAAAGTAGTGTTTTACTTGAATGAAACCTTCACAGAATAAGCCCTTTTACTCTAAAGTCTGTGCTATAGAAACTTACGTAAATATGAGTCTATGTTCCTGACTCTGCATTAAGTGCCAGGCTATTGGAGAAAAGCTCTTGCTGAAGCTTACCCAACGCAGGAATGTAAGAATACTCATGTGCTTATAAATTAAGAACATGGATTGAATTGAGTTTAAATGAAGATGTTCAAAACAATAATTCATTATAAAACCTTTAATCTCATTTATGGGCTAAATTTAATTTCGTGTAGAAATTCTAGGCATCAAAGATACGATTTGGGATCTCAAGCTCCTGAAATCATTCTAGAACTTAGAGAGCTTGCACGTAAACTTGAATTCAGTCCCTTTGTGTCTGTGGGCAGTGGTGTGCATCCCACTGGTGTCCGGCTGCTCTGCCTCTTCGTGAGGTCGCAGGGCTCGTAGCTGACGGTTACTGGCTGCTCATCCCGGGCAGATGGTTAGTGTCTGTGTTTCTTTGTGTACTCCTGTCATCATGCATAACATGTCATAGTCTCCAGTTCACTAGTTTCTCTGAAATCAGAGATTGCCCTTGAGGTTGTCGTGTCCTATTTGCCTTTAAGCATTTATAAGAGTGTCTAGGAAATACTAGGATTGAAATAAGTATCTATTGATACGTTATTGCTCATATGCCCGAGTATCCCACATTTGGCTTTTGTTTTTTCTCTCATTGTGCCTTACAACTTAATAGGCATCCTGACTCCTGGTCAGCAGTTGTCTGGGCCTTTTATTATGCTGTGGTTTCATCTGCTTTGAAAGCTTCCTTCCCAGGCCACCCCAGAGGCAATTTTAGCTATGTTGCATGTTCCCCTGTAAGGTTAGACCAGCAATAGCAAATCCTTTAGAGCTCTTGTGACACAGATAGCCTGCTGCGACACATGTGCCATAGGCTTGCACGCCACTGGGTTCAGTTATCTCAAAGGTGCTCCTGAGATTTGGTGAAAATCAGTTAAGCCCTCATTGTAAAGTGTAGTAACAAAAAAATGCAAGATGTTATTGTTAGGGCTGGTACTTTGGGTAATTTTTTTTAATGTTTTTTATTATTTTAAATTTTTCTCTATTGAATATTAATTGGTTTTACAATAAAATTTATTTTTAGTTTACTTTAAAATTTATGCACAGTAATATTGACCCTTTGTTGTGCAGTTCTGTGAGCTTAGATATTGTGTACAGTTGTGTGATAACCGCTGCCACAGTTGATACAGAACACATCAAAAATGTCACACTGCTCTTTGAGGTGGTTTTCTTTCACATGGCATAGTGCATTCGAGATGCATCTCTGTGGAGCGTGTCTGTGCTTTGTTCTTTTCTCCCTTTTATTTATAAAGTGTATGGCTGCCAGCTCATTTTTCCAGTTGCTTGTGCCAGTTTGCATCCCTCTGGTGAAGTAGAGTTTTGGCTGTTCTGCTTTCTTGTCAGCACTTGCATTGTCAGGGCTATTTGTTGTCTTAGCTCTTCTAATAGGTATGTAATAGTAATCCACTGTTGAAGTTCGCAGTTGCTGCCTGTGTAGTGATGATCAGGCGTCCGTTCGTGTGCTTGCCTTCTGTCTGTTTTCATTGGTGAAGGCACCATTGCAACGTCTTGTCCATTTTTTTAATACACTGTATTATCTTTAAAATACTCAGACTATACCACATAGACTAAAAGATTCCTACAAAGAAGCATAGTAACACAGAACTTTATTTTCAACAAGCTAAGAAAACTGCTAGTATAAATGAATCATTAGTGTATATATTAAAATATTATTGAAGCAGTGGTAATTTGAAGAAGTATTTGGGTATCCCCCTTCTTCACTAAATACTCTTTTTAAAATCATTTATTTATTTATTTGGTACAGGGTCTCATTACACAGCTCAGATTCGTAGTGATCCTCCTGTCTCAGCCTCCCCAGCACTGGGATTACAAGCATGCGCCACCACGCCTGGTCTTGGTAGCTGGCACAGCAAGTGATACTAGGGATCGAACCCAGATCCTTGTGCTTGAGAGGGAGGCACTTAGACTGCCGAGCTATCTCTCCAGCCCACGAATTGCTTTTATATATTTTGTGCAAGTCTTCTGACTGTATGGGGGAGGCTGGGCCTGGTGTCTGCTCATATTACATGTGTCTGTTACTCTGTCCTTGCATCAGTACTGCGCTGTCACAATCACTGCACGTTACGTCGTGAAGTCAGGTAGTCCACCACCCTCGTAACCACTGCTGCTACTGTTGTGCTGTGGCTGCTGCTTGCCGCCCCCTTGTCCTTGTTGTTCTCCTTCCTGAAATGTTCTGGCTGGTGTAGTTCTTTTGCCTTACCATCTTGTGCAGGAAAGACTTTAACTGTACAGGACCAAAGCTGTTATTACCCGAAAAGCTTGCTTTTGAGCTTGGCATTTGGCTGGCATCTGGGAACTTGGCTTTGGAAGTGTTCCGTAGATGATGAAGTGATTTTGCCTCTCATTTGAACTGTACCAGAGCTTTCCCTTTGCAAGTTTGAGGGTGGCTATTTGGTTAGGCTGATACTGCCTACAAAGTCAGTTCCCAGTAAAACTCTGGACTCTGAGTCTCAAATGTGTTCCTGGCAGATCACATGCACACACACGCGCGCGCGTGTGCACACATACACACACGCAGCTACATTTTTATTCCCAGAGGCAGTATGTACTTTGTGTGAACTATCATTGGAAGCAGAGAAAAAGGAAACCCTTGATATGATTCCTCTAGTCTCTGCCTGATTTCCCCTTACTAGTCTGGCTGTGTAGCTTTTACAGCACTGGTGTGCTGCAAATTCTCAGCCACCAGTGTAACTTTAATTTAAAGTCATTCGAAGGGCCAGGGAGATAGTTGATCAGCACAAGCCCCTGATTGGTAAGCACAAGGTCCTGAGTTCAAACCCTGGTATGTATATATATACACAGGGACCCCAAAACCCATTTTTTAAATTTATTTATTTATGCAGAACTGGGGATTGAACTCAGGCCCTTGCGCTTGCCAGGGAAGCGCTTATTCCCCTGAGCCATCTCCCCGACCCCCCAAAACCCATTTTAAAATAAGAGATGCTGTTGCCTTACTCAGATAAAATAAACAGTTTTAAAGGGAACTTTGTTAAATACGTGAATTTCCAAGTAGTAAAATTTTCTACCCTTGTTCTTTCCTTTCTAATAAAACACCAGGACCAGTGTCGTTGTTATCCCTGTGGTGTAATAGGATCAACACTGCCAATTCCAGAAAACATCAAGAGTTTGCTGGACGTTTGAACTCTGTTAATAACAGAGCCGAGTTGTATCAACATCTCAAGGAAGAAAACGGGTTTGTGTTCTTTGTTATGCACGTTGGTTTTGTTAATTGCCTAGATGGGCTCCTACTAAACACTGCTTGTTGCTGTGCACAGATCTTACTACTTAGTACATGATGTCTGTATGGCGGAGATTAACTTGCTTGATTCTTAATACTCGTGCAGGGCCCAGTATATTAATCATAAGCCTGAGAGTGTTTACCACTTACAGCACTATTTTTTTAATGCATAGTAAGCAGAAAAAAAGAAAAATTATAGAAAACACCTAGGGGGCAACACTGAATGTATATAAAATAAACAAGGATAAAATTTTTCCCTATTAATAATACAGTCAGAAATATTGGTTGTAATAGAATAAATGTCAGATCTGACTGTCTTAAATAAACGTTTTAGAAACAGTCATGCAATGCAATGCCAAAAGAGTATCCTGTCTAGTGGACAAGGAATCTTGGCCAAGTGGTAGACATTTTCCCCATATTTCATTTGAAGAAGAGTGAGTGGTGCAGTGAAAAAGCTGGAAGTGTGAGCTTGGGGAGGCCGCCCATTCTCGAGCTCAGCCTTACCTCACTGCAGCACGCGGAGGTTGGCTCCAGGGGGGCTCTCCCTCCTTTCCTGAACTGGCCCCTGCTCTGTCCTGGGACTGCATTCAGCTTCAGTTTCCATACAAAGGTGGACAAAGTAGGCTCTAGGTAGTTAAGGTTCTAATTTTTTCCCCTTCTGCTTTTTTCAGGATGGAGACAACAGAAAATGGAAAAGCAAGCCGGCAGTGAGAAGAAACTTGAGGAGTGAAATTTAGTATATTGCAAAAATATTTTGGGCAGATTTGATACAAGTACTTTTACAGCAAGATTATATAGCTATGTTGCCTAGACTGGTTTTTACATTTTTAAAATATTTCAATAAACTTTTGTACTAATTATAAAATTGGCACATAAGTAAAAACAAACATTTGAGATTTGTCTTCCAAAATCACATAAATTTATTTTATGGTAAAAGGTGTTGCCTCTGGAAATTTTTTAAAAAAATTCTTAGGCTTCTCTTTACCAAATAAAAATAATATGTGAAATGCATAATACTGGAGTATTGTTTTATTTTTGATTAGAGAATTAACTTTAGACAAAAGGAATTTATTCATTTAATAATTAACTTTAGAAAGTTTTGGAACTTTTTTTTTTTTTTTTTTTGGCAGAACCAGGGATTGAACTCAGGCCCTTGTGCTTGCCAGGCAAGCACTTATTCTACTGAGCCATCTCCCCGGCCCCAAAAGTTTTGAAACTTTGATCAGGGTTTAGGTGAATTTGTGATACATATATACTGAGAGAAAAAGAGTACTTTCCTCAAAAACTGCTTTGTTTTTAATTATCTTGCCTTTGGCTAGTTGGGCGTATGTTGCCTAAAAGCAACGCTCTCAGAAAGTTGGCATAAATTGGTCTTTGCTAGTTCTTTCTGCTAAGAAATTTCTGTCCATTAATTTTTCATACTAAAAAGCTTGAGAGAGATGACTTCACAAACAGAAGAAAGTTACTAGACTATTTTTATCCTTGGATAAAATTTTGGTTTGCTCGTTTCATTCCTCTGAAATGCCATGGCTTCTGGTATATGCCTTCCTCCTGTACTTTTTGTCTGAAAACTGGTAACATGTAAGAAACATGTTACTCCAGTGTTAAACACTCCAGCTTTGTCATTTTTTCCTTTACTGTACTATTTATTAGAGGTGGGAAAACCTTTTGTATTGTTCATCTGTATTTCATTCTCAAGTCTACTTTTAAATCATTGCAGGAATCACAGTTGCCCCTTAGAGAACAGACTTTCAGTTATAGTAAGAGCTTCTACTAGTAGCTTGTTTTTATAATTACGACTAAAAGGCAAAATGTTTAGTCTTATTGTATGGTATGTTTGACAGACTATTTTATATGCAGGCACGGACACTGAAATTTTGCCTGCAGAACTTCTAGTATGTTTCAATATTATTCAAAATCATCATATGGACATTTACAGCTTAGAGAATTAACAATGTATAGATTGCCTGACACTGGTGCTTTCTGTAAGTTGTAAGTCAGCTTAAGCCATACATGGCTTCAATTTGGAAGATCATCAATTGTTCAAATTCTTCAATACAGCACTTGTAAAGTAAGATGCTCTTATTCTAAGGCAAATAGTTTATAATATTTAAGAACATTTTATGAAGCACTGAGTTATTTGTGCTGTTATTTTTAGCACAGTTAAAACCATCAGTGGAATTGAGGTGGGGGGCAGAACAGAAGCACCCAGATGCTAAGTTGTTCTGGGGGGTGCTGCCAAAGTGAGCCAGTGTGGACCTCAAGGTTAGAAAGATTTGAAGCAAAATTCTAGGATCTGAATTTGTTCTTAATGAAGTTTGAAATCTGTTTCAGTGACTAAAATGAACATAGTGAACCATATGAAAGTACCATTTGTGTGCAAAAGACTATTGATGCTTTGTATGGTTTAGTTAATATATTTGTCTTTATATCCCATTTGAAGTCAGAAGGAATTAAGTTTAGTTATAGATAGATAGATAGATAGATAGAGATATAGATATATTTAAGAAAGGAATTTCTAGAGAGTGGCATGAACTTAATGTAGCACCTGGTTAGAAATGATTTTATTTATAACATTTTAAATAAAATTTATTTAATTTTAAATAGAAAATTTATAATTTTCTATTCTGAATCATTGAAAAATGAAAAGATCTGAGGGAGAAAGGTGATACTGAGCCAAGTGACCCATAGTTAACTTCTTTAGTAAAGAATAGGATAATAAACTACTTAAACTAGAATATTAAAAGGAAAAACTACTGTCTGTCCTATTTTAAAATACAGTTGGCTTTCTGTGTGCTTGGATTTGACCAAAAATGTTTGGAGAGGCAAGGTGTGGTGGCTCACACCTGCAGTCCTGGCACAAAATGACAAGTTTGAGCCCAGCCTGGGTGACTTATTTAGTGAAACACTCTCAAAATTAAAGATGCAGGGATGTAGCTCAGTATGAAGACTCAGCGTAGCTCGGCTTAGCTGTTGTGAACTGTGCCAGTGTACACACAGATACATGTGTTACTATAGACTGTGGTATTTTTAATTCTTGAGGCAGTATACCCAGAAATGGTGTATCTGGATTAAATGGTATTTGTATTTTAGATTTGTGAGGAATACTCCTGTTGGTGTCCTTAGTGGTTGTACTAATCCACATTCCCACCAACGCTGTAGAAATACTCCATTCCCCCCTCATCCTCAGCACTATTCATTGTTCTTTATATTCTGATAGCCACTCTAGCTGAGGTGAGGAGGACGTTCGAGGTAGTTTGGGTTACATTTTGCCTATTTTTTCCCATCACTTTACGTAACAGACTTGAGTATCCATGGATTTTGGTGTTCTTGAAGAAGTGTGTATGTGGGGGGAAGTGGTAGTCCTGGAACCGGTCACCTGTAGATGCTGAAGGGTGACTGTGGGTGTCACAATCAATTTAAGTGTAGCCAAGTTAAAGGACAGACTTGGGCTCCGTGTTTAAGGGATAGAAGGGAAAGAAAAATGGGTCAGGGAGGTAAAAAAGATGTGTTACAGGACTGTGGAAGTGTTGAGATTGCTGAGGACAAAAGCAGTGCCTTTGTGTATGACATCTAGAGTCCGAGAGGGGCTTCCAAACCATCTCCTTGGAATCCTGGGAAGAGAGACCAAACTGTGCCAGTAAAACATTATTCAGATGAAGTTAAGTGGATGTTGTCAACTATTTCAGAAATACATTAATAGAGAAATGTCCTTGCCTGTCATGGTAGCTTTTTTTTTTTTTTTCCAGAGCCAGGGATTGAACTCAGGCCCTTGCACTTGGCAGGTAGGTGCTTATTCAACTGAGCAGTCTTCCCAGCCCCATGGTAGCTTGATAAAGCTGAGGGAAGGTTATTTTCTGATAATCATTTTTTAAGGTCTGTGTGAGAAGCTTGTTCATAGACTAGTACTGTGGAAACGTAGATTCCATAAATTTTCCCCCATGACATGAACTGATGGGCGGAAGTTTGAAGTAGCAGTTTAATTGCTATATTATTGTTAAATTAATCATACCTTTTATGATGAAGGTTGTAGTGGGGGTTTTACTTTGGATTTGCAATTTATAGCTCTTCTCATATTTGAAAATGAGGTTGCCATTGGTGGAATTACCATAATGGATGAGTCATTATACCATCTGTTTATGGCAATGGTGGCCAGGGTGACAGTCAGCTATCTGAGTTTCTAAGGGGAAATAAGTGATGAGAATTCATCTCAGTCAGTACAAAAAACAAATTAGTATTTATCTTTTGACAACTTGATTTAGCCTTTTTTATTTTCTCTAACTTATAAATGAATTAGCCCAATTCTCAAAGTTGTTAATGCATATATGTTTTTGGCAGTGCTGCTTAACCTTTCCCCTGGCTAATGAGAGCCATTTTAGAATGGAAGAGGAATTGAGTGGGCGGTTAGGCCCTGGCCGCCCTTGTGCATAGCAGATGACATTGTCTGTAAATAGTATTGAGGCGACCACTGAGGAAAAGGTAAAAGAAACACCACACTTGAGGGCTGCTTGCTTTCCAGGCCTCCGCACACCCGTTTTGTGGTCAGTCTTACGAAGGTTCTTTGAAACATAAGGGACTATGAACAGAAAAACCTGGTTTTACAGGAGTGGTATCTACATTCACTACCACTGTCATAACAGTATCTAAAAAAACAAAAAACAACATCAAAAAAGCAGTATCTATATCTATCTAGATGTAGGTATACTTACTAGGAGAGCCAGAACTTTTCTAATCCAGGGGCTGTTTTCTCTGTTAGGTGAGGTGGAATGCTGCCTTCCGTTACTGCTCCATCATCTGGATCCAGAGCAAGGCAGAATGCACTACCTGATATTCTCAGCTGAGCCAGTTTTGCCTTCTGGCAGCAGAGCACTGTGAGCTTTAGAGGGACATTTTTCATCAGGCTCCTCAGCGTAAACATTTTTTCCTGCGTTTCTTGCTTAGACATCATTTCAAAGAACTGCCTTTGGCTAGATACAAGAGTTTGTTATACCAGGATTATAAGTAGACCCTACTTTCAGGATAGTTAATCCACTCACTGTACTGGAGTTTACTTTAGCAAAAAACAAATCCTTCCTCTTTTTATAATCAAGTGGAGGCTTTGTGTGTGTGCGTGTGAAGTGTAAGTGGGGCCAGAGTACTGGACAACTTCAGTGGTCAAGCCTCCAAGCAGCCGGGCCCCCAAGTCCATACAACACCTAAATTCCTGAGGTGAATCCTGAAAATCCAGTTCTAGAGGACACGCATATATTAGTATTTGATGAGCTTTGCTAAATTGCATCCCGCTTTCAAAAGCTTTTTTTTTTTTTTTTTTTTCTGAGACAGGGTCTCCCTATATCTTTCCAGCTGAACTTAAGCTCACTGTGTATAGGGCTGGGGAGATAGCAATCTAAAGCACCTGCTAGGCAAGTGCAGGGACCGCAGTTCCATCCCTGGCACCACATGCCATGCCAGCCCCACCCCCAAGGTGAGCTGAGCTGGCCACATACAAAAAAAGAAAGCAAATTGGACTCACTGTGTAGCCCAGGCTGGCCTCAAAATCGCATCCATCTTCCTGCCTCAGCCTCCCTGAGTGCTGGGACCGCAGGCATGTGTCAACACACCCAGCCTGCAGCCTGCTTTCTAGCCTGAAAGATACTAACATGGACTTAGTATTGCAAGCATCAAGTTGAGTTGCCAGCTCCTTGAGCATAAGATGTGTTGGGGGTGGGCTTGAGAGACAGCAGCGAGATAGCGGACTGAGCACCTGCTTAGCCAAGAGGAGGGACTGGGATTTGATCCCTGGTACCACAAGTGCCAGCCCTGCAGGGCCCATTGAGCCTTCCACAGAGACCAGGTGTGGTGGCGCACACCTGTAATGCCAGGACTGGGAAGGCTGGAAAAAGGATCACTATGAATCTGAGCTGTGTAGTGAGACCCAGTACCAAATACGTAAATAAAGACAAATAAGATGTATTGGAGGAAATGCCCAGTAGTTCCTATTAGCAACTTAATAGTTAACAACAGGAACAAAC